GACGGGGGGCAGCCGGCGGCGGGCGGAGCCGGGTGGGAGATAAAGCCGCGGGGACCCCTCCTTCTCCTCCTCTTCCTCCTCCTCCTCCTCCTCTCCCCACCCATCGCCCGGGAAACCGCCGGCCCCCGGGGCGGCCCCGGCACCGGCCCCGCGCTGCTCCCGCAGTTTGTTCCCTAGGAAAAGCACCCCTACCTTCCCGGGCTCTCCCCGCCTCCCTCCGGGCACCGGCACCCGCCTGCGGAAGCCCGACCGACCATAGAATCACGGAATGGCTTGGGTTGGAAGGGACCTGAAGGATCTTCTAGTTCCAAGCGCCCCCGCGTTGGGCAGGGACACCTCCCGCCAGACCAGGTTGCTCCAAGCCCCATCCAACCTGCCCTTGAACACTTCCAGAGAGGGACACCCACAGCTTCCCTGGACAGCCTGTTCCAGTGCATCACCACCCTCACAGTAAGTAATTTCCTCCTAATAAATAATCTAAATCTACCCTCTTCAAGCTTGAAACCATTCCTTGTCCTGTCACTACATGCCCTTGTAAAAAGTCCCTCCCCAAACGTGCAAGATGAGTTAACCAAGTCTGAAAACCATCTTATTTTATTTTTTTTTTTATTAAAAATGTGTATCATTCCTCAAAATAATGTGATGTTTGACATATTTTCTGTTAACATGAACCTTTCTTCCACACAGAGACGTAAAATATTTCCAAACCTTGATAGATTACTCTTGCTCAGTCCTTGCAAATGACCAGGGAGCTGAAACCCAACAGATACAACTGGATACAACTGCAAAATACTCTAGCTAGATAAATTTCAATGCTACAACAAATCTGTTTTAAGGCTCAGAAAAACATTTTAGGGGTATCATACAAGCACCAGCATAATCATCACGTGTGCATATGACTGATAACTCTGTGCCACAAAAGGACCAGATATAAAATGTTGCTGCCTGATATTTCAGTCTATTAAGACAAAGGAAAGACAGACATCACAGTTGTCATACAGACTTCTCAAAAAGCACATATTAAAAATAAGCAGCTCACAGGCACACATGCATGGCTACACACACCTCCTCCACCAGCACCAGCTTTCAAGCACACAGGCAGCACAGTCGTCAGCATTTCACTTCAGAAAAAATATCTCACAGAGGTTCACAGTCACATCTTCTTGATGGCCCATTTCCTGAAAACCACATTTAGAAAAATAAATCCTTAACCTGAGTTTTGAAATGTCAAGCATCAACCCAAAGTGAATTTTTAACATCAAGGTTAAGAAGGAAGGGTGGTAGGAAAGCAAGGCTGAAAGACATGCTGCTTAAGATCCAATCGGTTTTTCTAATACAAAAACAAACAAAAAATCCCAGTAACCTTACTGACCATAGACTTGCTACACTCAGGAATAATCTATGAGCATTGTTTTAATATATCATTTCTCTCAGAGGAAGCAGTTGTTGTGAAGACAGAAACTGAGCTATGTCCTCACATTAGAAGAGGCAGGTGAAAGGCAAAAGTTTCCTGGAGATACCTGCACACCAAGCCATTTCCCTGGCCCCAGAGAGAAGATACGAGACTGGTTCAGTCTAAAGGACAACAGAAAGATGCTGCAACTTCCTTCTAAGTGTTCTCACTCATCTGACAAAGTTCAGTGTACCCTACACAAACTGAGGGCTGCACTGAGTTAAAACAGGCACATCCATCCAACACTGGATCTAGTAGTGGTTCTGGGGGACTCAGGACAAAGGGAATGTGATATATTCTTCTATAAACTGTCTGAGGCTGTGATGTGCCAGCCCCTCTGGAACTTTTTAAAAGGGTTCCAGGCTTTCTTTCTTGGCAGCTGTATTGTAGGTGCCTTCTACTTCAAATGAGAGGACATGCTTTAGCTTCAGCTCTACCTGTGTTCTACACAAACTAAGCACTTCACTTTATTACTGAAAATAAGCAGCAGCAGAACACAGTCGCATAAGCACATTAATTAAATAAATGCTTTGGATTAAAGCAGTGGAGTCATTACAGCAGTATGTTCTGGAAGAGGCTGCCCCGGGAGGTTGTGCAGTCCTCTTCTCTGGAGATACTCGAGACCTGCCTGAATGCAGTCCTGAGCAATGTGCTCTGGACAATCCTACTTCAGCAGGGAAGTCGGACTGGATCATCTCTAGAGGTCCTTTCCAACTCTGACAATTCTGTGATTCCGTGATTCCCTGCATCAACAAACTTTTGGTGTCTGCTGGTACACATGCTGAAGAAGATTGGGAGATGTAAGGATGTGAGTTTCTGTAAGGATTTCAGAAGGATGAATGAGAAAGGACTTTCTTAC